CTAGGTCAGATCGGTGTCTCAGTCAAATCTTAATACAAACGTGCATAAACTAGCTTCATAAACTGCGCCGCTGGACTTCATGAAATTATATTTAAATACAATAATTACTTAAGCTTACCATATTTCGAGATGCAGCTCCTGAAAGCTATCAAGTAAGGCAAGGATCGCTTGAGCCTTTATAATTCTCGTACGCATTCAGCAAGGTGAAAAACAAAAACGATGCCATCCGAAATCGGATTATCGGCTTTGACAAGCGACGCACTTCTCAACCAAAAACCCAATAAACAAACCAGCCATGAATAAGGGAGCACTCTTGATAGCAGCTGTATTTCATTTTGTACATCCAGGGGAAAAAGACAGTTAAAAACATCACAAGTTGACTCAAAACTCTGTCAGCTTCAGCTGTCAAAGTAAACAACTTTCAAGATGCTGCATAAATTTTACGCATGATTCACCTGTCAAATTTTAACCAATCAGAGCATAAAAATTGGACGTGGAGCTTGACCAACACGTGACCATGGTAAGAAAAGGTCTTCCCGTGTGTATTTTAAAAAAACTGGCTGAATTTTTGCGTCTGAGGTCAGTTTGAAATCAAAATCGTAATAGTGCAGTGCGATACTGACATAAACACAACATATTTGATATGAATTTTTTAAAAAAAGTAAACGTGAGCCTGCGATCATTTGAACACGAGTAAATTGTCAGCGGATAACTTCCAAAAATATTCGACCTCGATGGGTCGACACCTGAGCCCGCGATACGGCCAGGTGATACTGGTCAGCGGATACCCTGTTTTGACAGCTGTCAATTGATGACAACATTGATGTGCAATCAGCTTTCTCCTGGGCTCCCAACGCAGCTAGAATGTGTGAGAGTAAACATTGGTATGCCTGTGGTGCGGACGGACGGTCGGTCGGTCGGTCGGTCACGTGATTACCAAATTTTCTGGGATGGGTAGATTTATTTACCCATGGTGCTCCGCAGGCGCGCTTCGCGCGCGGAGCTCCGCTATAAATAATCATCATCATGAAACATCCTCAATAATAATAACAATAAACAATTATTTATTGTTATTGTTATTATTATTGTTGTTGTTGTTGTCGATGATGAACTTATTATTGGGTTTACCTAGTCCTCCGACTATCCATTTCTTTTTTATTACAAAGTGCTACAGAACAGAGTCTGCGTAACGTGCAAAATCTTCGGCACTTTTTTTCTAGCTCTACACCACCAAGCCGCATTCTATCACTTTTTTTGTCACCGAAAATGTTTTTTGAAAGCATAAATTAAACCTGTTATTTTCGCGCTAAAATTAGTATAGGTAATAGCATGATTTGCAGTGATACTTGGCATAAATACCACGAGTGATATTTCGAAATTGTTATACGTAATTTGACGAGCCGTTAGGCGAGTGAAATTTGAGACAATTTTGAAATATCACGAGTGGTATTTATGAAAATATCACGTACAAATCATGCTAATTTTTTCTTTATACTACTACCCGCAAAAGGTTCGTAATTTTCACATGTAGGTATTTCAAATTAAGCTGAAATACCACTGCTCTAAGCCAATCAAATTGCATAAATTTTTGATGTAGTAGTATAGACACTGTAATTTGACAGTGTAATGTGCATCATGTAATTTTTGATGTACTTTGAACTTCCTGAGTCGGGTCGGTGATTAAACTTCATTAAATGAAAGAAACTAAAAATTAAGCAGTACTTTCGCTTTTTTGCTTCATGTTTTTTAAATATTTTGCAACTTGAAATTTTCCGGACAGAAAAGGGATTAACTTACGCGTTTCGGATAAGACGATATAGGACAAGTTGAATCCTTTGTAAAAAACAGTATCATCGGAAACAAAACGGAACCAAATATCTCGTACAGTCCGCGTATAATGGGGATAAGCATCTTGCATCTTTATAGCTTCCTGGTGACGGGAGGTTCTTCTTGCACATATTGCGTTGCTGCTAGTAAAACCAAAATAACTGCTACTGTAGGTCAATTTGTCACAATCACAGTCTTTGCATTCTTCTATATCAAAGCTAAAAGAAAAAATAGTTACATTCCTTACTAAATAGCCTGCTTAGCAGGTGCCAGGGAATGTTATCTGGATGAATCAAATTACCATTTTCTATATTTGGTATAGCCTGAGTATCAGGCCTTCCTAAGGGGCCAGGGGAGAGGAGATTTTGGATGGGGGAGGGGGGAAGGGGGAGAGGAGAAAGGAAGGCCTGACACAAAGCCAGTCAGCAAATCGTGTGACACATCCAAAATCTGGATGTGGCAGTGATTGGATAACACACAACAACCCCTGACGTCACCGACCGCAAGTAAATACGAGCAGAGCGATCGGCAAGGAGAAGCCATTGAAATTTTTCATAGATGTTTTGATTTCATGTGGTACTTCTACGGACAGAGACGCAGAGAGGAATTCAAAAAGGCTCTAGAGGGCGCTCTCAAGTTCTTCCCTCGAATAAAAATAAAACCCGAGCAAGAATTGTGTTTTCAAAGCCTCGTAGTTAAAAGGAAAGATGTTCTCGGAGTATGGAAAAGCCTCATATACCAGCTTCTGCCGACACTGTGTCGGAGTATTGGTTTCACAAGACCGGGACAAAGAAGACAATATCAGTGCTTCAGATATCTAAGTTCTGATTTACAACATCCTGCCGTTAAAAGGGTATTGTTACTGTAAATAAAATTAGAGCGAGGTAGCCATGTATTGAGAATAGCCGACAGCACCAAGGCTTTAGCTTGATTTTGCTTGTGCCGGTTACGATAGCGGACGTGACTGGAATTCGTTCGCTTCCTCTTCCAAAATTTTTTTCACTTCTGAAATGTCTCAAGCTTAAGCGGGCGTCATCATATTTCGCTTTCCCTCGGACGATTCTCGCCTGATCCACATCAGCTCTTTAGCTGCCAGACTCTCAGGAACCTGCTTATTAATGACCGCCTGTTGTAACTCAGTTACAATTTTCCGGCGCACGTTTATTTACAAACAGTGCGTTGGCGATGTTACACTAGCACAATTCCTAAAACATGTTATAATTCCTCAAAAACGGCACGTTTTCCATTACAAGTATTCGAAAACTCCTCATTGGAGGTTTCAGAAAACAGCGAAATCGTACGTAGCAACACGAGCACCAGAGCTCGGCCAGACCGTAAGGTGAGATTTATTTTAGGCGAGCTTTTTGACACGTGAAGCTGACAACTCAATGACCGGAAGTGATTTTGATTGGATGGTATCGAATCATGCTGTGTGGGGGTGGAAGGCTCTAGCAAAAGCATCTGTCTCAGGCGTTTCTCGAGGGTCTCACTTAACGGTTATGGGCAAAAATGTTGGCTCTTTTACGGCTATCGGTTAATTTTTTTCAGTTACGGTTAACAAAAGGTTAAAAATTAATTTCTTTTGTTGCAAAGAGTTTAATATTAATAAACCTGTATTTTTTGTATCTCCAAAACAAAATTAAGGTCTTAAGATTATCTCGAAATAAAATAAAGCTATTCTTTTGAAAAAATTTAATATTTGATAGATCATACTATTTATAAAGTATTCCATTTCTAATATTATTTTACGCATAGAAATGTCAAGCAAAAGTAGACACGCGAACGCCCAACTCAAGGCAGGGGGACATTCATTTATAACAGAAATGGCCATTTTCACACTAGAGACGGATTATTCGTGTGAGATGGGTTATCCGTTTGATAATTCGCGTCACATAGGTAATACGTCCAAGAGAGAATGATCGGTTTTAATTTTGAATGCACAATCCGCCTGACTTTATTCGTCAATTTTGAGGGACAGTTTGAAGATGGATTATCCATTTCAGAGAGCCTGTGTGCAGCTGCCCCCTCCCCTCAGAAAAAGTCGGAGAAGGGATGTCTGTAGGGGAAGGGGCGACTATACACAGGCTAGTCGCAGACTGATAATCCATTTCTAGCTCTAGTTTGAAAACGACCAATAGCAAAATTCCCGTGTCCAGTGTTTTTAATGACAGCGAAGGACTGTACAGAACGACTGTCTGCTTTGCCTTGTACATAGGCCTCATTATTCCGCGCGGCGAAAGGTTCCTATTTACATGCGGGACATGTGTGACGTCCTGGTGACGTCACGCCCTCCATTTTATTTACAAATCCAGCAAGAGTTCCACTTCCTCCCCATTTCTCTCATAGCCGTAAGGATAACTGGATTTAGTGACCGTGTTGATGACACGTTTGCCAAAGACGAGGCCATATTGTTTTATGCGTGATACGTTTTTGTTCCAAATCTTTTTGAAAATAATAAGGCGTTACCACATTGGTAGTACGGCGATGATCAAGTGGGTTCTCTAATTCAGCCAAAATATTGTCTTTCATGGTCTGAAAATTCAGGACAGCTGCGCCGCGAACATTCAGGGTGAGTCCGCGGACCTTACACACCACTTTACCCTGCCGTGACGTGTACCCATAGTTCTTGGCGCCCCCAGAAACGAATTCGGTGATGACGTCACCATCGAGTGCATCCGTCATGTCCCCGAGAAAATCACCTGTGGCGATGGAAGGTTGATCGGGACGCTATTTGTAGACCACGCTGTCCGTGTCGTAACTGAAGCACTTGCTCCTGGAGAATGTCTAGAGACTCAGAGTTTCAGTCTGGCGTGACAGGTGATGAAGGCCGCCACAAAGATATTGGTCTTGCTGCCTTTGACCGCATTGTCATGTGCACTGGTGTAGACAGCCTCCAAGATGTCGTCGGTGCACAATCGAAGAGTGCTGATGTCGAGGGCGGCATCGGATACTAAACTGAACAAATGGGAGGGATCTTTGACGGTGACGGTGGTGGTCTTGTTGATCCGTTCACCAAATTTACCCCAGAAACTGCAAAAAAAAAAAGAAACCTTGAGAAAGGGTGGGATGACAACATGAAAAAAGAAAAAAGGGAACAGTTACCTGTTGAGCATTAACTTGGCCGTGGCCTTGCGTCCGGGATTTTTGGCAATGTGGCTGATGTCCAGTCGGATCCCCTCCCGCTCCTGGTAGCGAAGAATGTACTCTCGTTTTTGTTCCACGGTTTGGCACCAACTAGGCCACCCAGCCGATTATTGCTTTAACTTCAACCGGATGTCCTCAAACAAATACACGGGACACCCTTCTTGGGGGCACTTGTACCTTAACTTGCCAAATTCGGTCTGAGGGTTGACACAATGGATGAATTGGTGGGGATGAAACGGGCACGCTTGGTACAAGAGGTCGTTCAGGTTCGCCTCCATCTGGTCTAGGTCCTGTTCTTCCCATTCCCCTACTTCAGTGGCAGGATCCGAGGGAAACGTCCCTTCCTCCACACATTCTTCCTGGTAGTCTTTCAGGGCACAATCCATCAACTCGTTCACGGTTTGGGGTGGTTCTTCAGCTCGGGGCAGGGCATTCAGGGCGACCACCAGTTCACTAGTAGGTGGTTGTGTGGCTTATAATAATAATAATAATAATAATAATAATAATAATAATAATAATAATATAATTCATTTATATAGCGCTATTAATACTAATTATTCATAGCGCTTTACAATTTTAAACCTTATACTAACTATAAAAAAGTTTTTACAATTTCATCCTACTATTCTAATTTCTACAATTATATATAATTAAAAAATAATTACTGATTACATCTTACACACTACAAAAAAAAAGAAAACAAAAGAAAATACAGAATAGTATGCAAAATAATAAAGCAAATGCCCATCTAAAGATAGGCCATTTTAAAAAGCATTGTCTTCAGTTCTGATTTAAATGCTTTTATATTTGACGACATGCGCAACTGAAAAGGCAGTTCATTCCATAGCTTAGGAGCGCATACAGAAAATGCTCTATCGCCATAGGTAACAGTTCTGGATTTAGGAACACTAAGCAGATGTTGAGACTGAGATCTAAGATTGCAGGTATATTTAGGCTTATTAAGTAGCTCAGATATGTATCCAGGAGATAAATCATTATGGCTTGGGGGTCTAGGTCTTTGGTTTTTTGTTCCTCGTTCTTTTTCTTGGCGCAAACTCGACGTCGTTTGCGTCCCGTCGGCACAGCGGCTGGTTGGGTGGCTTGACGCTCCATGACTTATCACTCTGCCGAATGAATCTCACCTTGATCCTTTCATGTCTTATATAACCCATGACCTGTCCATCAGCCCTCACCTCGTGATCATGGTGTGATATTTTTTCCACCAATCCCGAACCACTCCATGCGTCTCGTGATGATGGTGTGATGTTGTTTTCCACCAATCCTGGCCCACTTCATTTGTTATAAAAGGGATGGATTCTCGACTTTCCTTATCAGTTGGTGTCCTCTCCGTTCCACGGTAAGTTATCATGTCTTTACGCGAAGTGGGTCTCTTGGTTTACAGCCATGTCAGGGGTTTGCTATCTCCCGGGATGAGTATATTGTTCGGGAACTGGCTTTTTGTGATTGGACGGGACACCATAAGGTGTTGTTCAAATACACGTTACCTCTTGGACTGACGTACGACCTTTTATCCGAGGACGCCAAGACCCGAGTGGATCGTCAGACCAAGACGGTGCTTGGATTACCTTTTGAACCTTTTTTGTCGGATCATAACCGACATGAATTTCACCCTTACCATCAGTTAAGGGATGATGTTACCCGATGGTGTCCACAATATCTCACTCTAGAACGATGGCGGTTGGGTATCTTCACCGTCAATGGTTTGTATCGATTGTTCCAAGAGCCACGGTTTTCTTACCCTATCGTCGTCCTGGAAGGTCAGGGATGCAGGGAGTTAGCCAGTCTTCCTACTTTCACCGTCAAGTACGTGCTTGTCAAATGAGTGGCTGGTTGCGTCGACATTCCAACGTGTTACCGACCCTCTCCCAAGTGAATGCCCAACGCATGCTTTGGCAAAAACGGTGTGATCGTCTTTTGGATGAGGTCTTATGCAACCAATGCATTGATGACAAAGACGACGCGTTTGCCGAAGGCAAAGGTTTGGATTGGATCCCCGATAATTGTAGTGAATGCCGCGGCGTCCGACATATCCTTGAACAAACTGTCGCCTACCGGGAATGGCAGGTA